AGGAGTATGTAAAATATGTACTTAAATATTAGGTAATTAATTATTAAAACTTTCCTCGTGTCGAATTTTATGTTTTTAAAATTCAATAATGTTTTAACATACGAGTCCATCACAAGTTCAGTGCTGAACACAGAGCTCCGAAAGGAAAAGGTTTCCACATAGGTTTTGTAGTACAAAACACGGCTCTGAGCCAACTTCCGCGATTTCCTGCATGTCTTACTAAGATTAGTGGCTTGTGTGCAGCAAGTTGTGGCATACAAGAGAATTTGTCTATACACGGGATGATACTACCCCGCGTCGTAAGCAATAATACAAGATGAGGATGGGGCAGCAGCACTTTCCTGATGAAAACTTAAAATAAACACAAGAATAAAACTAAGAAGATTAACGGCAGCATTTTCCTGATGAACAGCTAAATATAAAAAAAGCAGTGGTTGCCAACCCGCTTGCCAAGCGTTGCAACTATGGCAAATAACTATGTTCATGTTTATATTCAGCAGTGGACTTTAGATAGACTGTAAAGGAAAAAGGACTAAATTTTGTGTACTTACACAAAATTTAGAAATATTAACAATGTTACATTAAGTAAAACAAATGAAAACACAATTATATTATTAAATATAATCCAATAAAATTAAAATAAATAAACGATTATTTATTAATTTTTCATGATATTAATAAACAACAAAATTTTTGTCTTCTTTCTAGATCATTCGTTGTAATTCTTGGTATGAGTAGCTTTAGAATTTCTCAAAAAATATGCATTTATAAACTTGATTTATAATTTTGCATGGCAGAAACTCTTGGGTGCTGCTTGTTAAAATCTGATTAGCAGGCAGTATATATATATATATTATATGCCTTGTATATAATATATTTTAGTGGTATAAAAATAATAAGGTACAACTCCTAAACTATACTTAGATAGGTAATACCTATCTCTTGTCAAAAACATCTTTATTACATTATTTATGTCAATTAAATGTAAATTATTATTAATAAATTATTTATTTCTTAACTTATTTCCACATTATTGTTTATAACACCTTTATAAAAAGGATTAAGGGGGGACTAAATATCTCATTGGTAGGCATTTACAGTCACTTTTACAATTATTATTGCATAATAAATTGTTCATTTGTATATTTAAGTCAGGATTTAAAATTATTTATTTATTATTTTATTTAAATCTTTACTTGCATAAACCATGGTAGTACAGATAAAGTTCCTACATTTGTAAATGAGAATTTATGTTTAATCAATCTATCTATAATTAAATATTTTGTCATTGTCATGCAATCAAATTACACAAAGAAAATTAATATAAATTACAATAAAATTATTACAAGTCATAATAATACAGAATGATAACAGAGAAATTTGAAAATAAAAAGTCAAAAACCATAAATAAATTAAGCAATGCTATTCAATTTTTAATACATACAGAACAATGTCAAAAATCATAATTACCAACAAGGTCAAACTTATATCACTTATGGGGAAACAACAAGACAACAATAAATTATAACATTTTAAATATTTTATCTTAATTATATTATAAATTACATAAATTAAGCATATTTAGTCCGCCTAAAACAATGAGGCTCAAAATGATTTGAGCATACACTACTTAGTTTTGTTGGTTATCTATAATCATCAACAGTAGCGATTATCCAGCAATTACGGATAGCTGTTTCTTTAGGAAAGCTGTAAAATAATATATTTAAAAGAAATTAATATATTAAATATATAGTACACTTTTATATCAAGGTATTTAAAAAAATTCAAGTATGAGTATCTGTGCATAAATACAACATCTATAACAATTAATACAATATCAATTGATTTAATTAAATAGCAGGTATCATCATCATCATTACAGCCCTTCACAAGTCCACTGCTGAACATAGGCCTCCCCCAAAGAATGCCACAAAACACGGTCCTGAGCCACCTGCATCCATCGACTTCCTGCATGTCTTACCAGGTCGTCACTCCATCTCGTGGGGGGACGCCCTACACTTCGCCTACCGGTACGAGGCTGCCACTCGAGAACCTTTCTTCCCCATCGGTTGTCGGTTCTTCGAGCTATATGGCCGGCCCACTGCCACTTCAGCTTACTAATCCGTTGGGCTATAACGGTCACTCTGGTTCTACTGCGGATATCCTCATTCCTAAGTTTATCACTCAGAGAAACTCCGAGCATAGCCCTCTCCATAGCTCGCTGAGCGACCTTGAGCTTCCTCATACGGCCAGCAGTGAAGGACCACGTCTCAGTTCCGTATGTCATCACTGGCAACACGCACTGGGTGTACAGTCTCGTTTTCAAGTTTTGAGGTATACCTGACAAGAAGATGTGCCGTAATTTCCCGAACGCTGCCCAACCGAGTTGAATCCGTCGATTGACCTCTCGGTCGAAGTTGGACTTACCTAGTCGGACTATTTGTCCCAGGTAAACATACTCGTCAACAACTTCGAGCTTAGTGTTCCCAACAACTACCGGCATAGGTGTGACATGGACATTAAACATGATCTTAGTTTTGTCTATGTTCATCTTAAGACCTATCCGTTGGGAAACACTATTGAGGTCATTGAGCATAGTGCTTAGGTCCTCCAGCGATTCTGCCATAAGGACTATATCGTCGGCAAATCGAAGGTGAGTGATGTACTCGCCATTGATATTAATACCGTATCCTTTCCAATCCAGTAGCTTGAAAACGTCTTCCAATGCAGCGGTGAAGAGTTTCGGGGATATGACGTCACCCTGTCTTACACCTCTCTGCAATTGGATAGGTTTCGTACTCTGGTTCTGTACTCGGATAGCCATCGTAGCCCTACTGTACAAGCACTTCAACACTTCGATATACCGACAGTCAACTTGGCACCGCTGAAGGGACTGCAGCACCGCCCAAATTTCGACGGAATCAAAGGCTTTCTCATAGTCCACATACGCCAGACATAGTGGCAAATTGTACTCTTCGGACTTCTGTACAACTTGCCGAAGGGTATGTATGTGGTCTATGGTGCTAAAGCCCTTTCGGAAACCGGCTTGTTCGGGAGGCTGGAAGTCGTCAAGTCTGCGCGCGAGACGATTCGTAATGACTCTCGAAAACAGCACGTAGACGCGGCTCAGAAGGGAAATCGGTCTGTAGTTCTTCAAGAGAGCGTTGTCACCTTTCTTGAAGAACAAGACCACCGCACTTCTGCTCCACGCCTCCGGTGTAATGCCACCATGGAGGACGGAATTAAAGAGCTTCTGAAGGACTTCAAGTACCGGTCTTCCACCCGCTTTCAGAAGCTCCGCTGTAATTCCATCCTCGCCTGGGGCCTTACCGTTTTTAAGGTGCTGGAGAGCCATCCTAATCTCGCTCAGACTGACATCCGGGATATCTTCGGAATAGTGTCGGATGAGACTCGCTCTTGGATCGTTACTCACACTTGCGTGTGGCTCCAACGATGATGTGTACAGCTGCCCATAGAACCCCATAGCAGGTATATGTAAATGTAATTATAATATTATTCATACCAAACATTTAAAAAAAATGTACATATTAAGCTTTAGATATTGTTAATTAGTACATTTACAGCCTAACAAATGTCCTCCACAGCTGAACATAGACCTCCCACATAGTTTGTCTGCAAAATAACTGCAGTTGCCAATCCTCCTGCCAAGCTAGACAACAATCATAAAACCTATAACTTTTGACTTTTGATAATTACTAATAGTAACGGTAAATATATTATCATAAAATTTTTTCTACATCATTAATTGAGAATATTATCTTAAGTTGTTGTGTTATTGTGTATCTTAAGATTAAGACTTATTTATTTATTATTTTATCTATATTTATATAAGTATGACATATCTAGTTATTTTTTAATAACTATTGTAATGTAATTGTTGCTAATGTGTGATAGAATTAATGGAATACAATAAAGTTTTGTGCCTGTGATTTCAGGTACATATTTTGTGAAATTAAATATACTTTGTTCAATACTTATGTAGTTGAACCTAAACATGTTTTCAGGTTGATAATTATATATTATTTGTGACATCTATTAATATAGAAAATGATTGAAGAGTTGTATATTATTGCCCAATAAGGAGAGTTTCCTTTAAAGCTGAACATAAAAGTGTATGCATATGTATAACATTATGTGATTCATATTTATGTACATAACTACTAATCACAATAATACTTATTATTGAACAATGGGAAAACATTATTGTACTCGATGATATCCCTAAAGTTTCCATAATCCTACCAAGTCAAAAAGTACACGTTTGTTATGACTTTAAGCTTTGCAATGATCATTCAAATTAAGGAGCATTATCATGAAGAATTTACAATTTGGGAGTCGAAATATTTGACAAAATACATCACAAAGTTCATTAAAAACATGAAATGTTACACTTTATATTCAAAACAACAGATATTAATCAGTACAAATAGCAAATGTAAGCACAAAACAAACTTACCGATGAAAGGTAATATCATCAATTTTTCGTTGACTGATTCTATTGCATCCTAAAATGCTACAACTTAACATCTTTTTCACCTTACTTAATAACTAAAACCCACGAAAAACACTGAATTCAATTACCTGTTTGCTTATAATATTAATGATAATCACAAACGCTTGACATCGTTAATATCAAATAAAGGAGGGAAAACAATCAAAAACGTATACTTAGAAAAAGACAAGAAATATTGTTTTGCTTCTCCCTTACTCTTATGTTTAACTATATACGTGCATTCCTTTCACACGCAGATGACGTCACTGAATGTTTAGTCTATAAGATACTATGTCTATGGATTACACATACTATGTCTATGGATTACACCCTACATATTTATTTATCTATGATTACACCTACACAGTCACAGCTGATCAAATGTCAATTGTCAAGAAAATGGAGTTTTGTTACGCATAACAAATTATGATCAAAAGTTTCAATATGAAATCAAATAACATAGTTTTTACTACCTGCATGGGTTAGAATGGAAAATACTACTCCATTTCAGCCATGGAGCACTGACGATGATTCACAAAATCGTAACACCGAAAGAGAATTAGTGGATGACGCGAAACTTCATCGGGAAAATGTCAATCATCCAAAACATAGGCAAACTGCGTCTTACGATAAAGAAAGTGTTGTCTCTACAATCATTATTGCAGGTCCATCGACCGCTTCAGGCACAATTACTAGTTCCTGCGCTAGTAAAGAGCCCGAGATGGACTCTAGTAAAGTAACTTCAATGCAACAAATCGTCGAGAACACTCTCAGGTATCTCAGCTTTACCAAGTTTACAATTTTATAATTTTTCTTACATTTTACATGATTGTGTCGCTCTGAGCTTAATTTTTTTTAATACCTTAAAATTAGTTATTGCTAAAGACTGGAGAGTGTTTACTGTTTAAAATACTAGGGAGTAGGTCTCCTTTTCCGATCCTGAGTTCATCTGTATAGGTACCATCCTCTTACATATTTATGCCACCAATCAGTGCCTCAGCTGCTATGTTCCAGTTTAATTTGTATAGAGATCCAATTTAATTACTGGCTGTGAGACATTCTATCTTAGTCCTCAGAGGTAAAAACTTCGCCGCATTCTATAGCCTTCTGTGTTGAAAGCTGGCTCATTTATAGCTTTATTTAAAAAAAATAACCGATACAAATGATAATACCCTAATAATGGGAATTTTAAGTCTAGAAAATACTGAGAATGATGCAATTATATGTGAGAATATAGACACAGAACATATTTGCAAAAATGCAACGTTTAGATGATAAGATCAGAAAAGACTCGCCTTTATAAGGATACTTTGGCAGGCTCTTTTTAACATAAACAGAGCTAAAATATATTAAATATATTCATTAAATATATATTAAATATATAAAATATATTTATATTTATAAATTTTAAGGTAACAAAATCATATTATTTTGGACAAGTTGTAAATGGTTGTAGCTTCATCTAAATAATAATTACATGTAATATCTTTAAAAAAAAGCTTAGTGTACGCATGGTTAAGATAAAAATTAAATTATATTATGTAGGTTTGTTATGGACTAGCACTGTTGTGTTATAAAATGTATCCATAATAAATTTATTAGTTGTTCGCCAAGGGGGACAGGAAGAGGCTTGCTTGACTGATCTTTCCCGCACTCAAAAAAAATCACTAATTCCAAGTAGATTGTACACATTAAATTTTAAGAGCCCTCTTACATTTCGGCGTTACATAAATTTAGGTAGTTTATGCACCGAGCGGGCTGCGACCTACGTGAGAGATACTTACTTTCATAATCTATTCACTCACTCGCACTATGATACTGTGGGTATAGCTGTTAAACAATCTTGAACTTCCATAATAAAAGTTTTCTTAGGATGGAGTTCAGTGGATGGAATAATTTTTGGTGTGTCATTTTTATGTTATCTTAATCATTTTTTATAATCTATTTTGGTATATTTTTCATTATTTATGAAACTTAGTGTTGAAATAAGTAAACATAAATATTTTAATTGTTACTTAGTAATCAATTGTTAATAATCGATTATGTCTACTACCAGTAGCATAGTGGTATAAATAAATAAATAGTACGGTTGCAACCTGTTTTAATAAATAAAACAACCAAACGTAACTAATATTTTTAAATCTGTAATCGGCAATATATATTTAAGGCAATATATATATAAACGGCAATCGATGCACACTACGATAGTATCGAAACGACGCAGCGCGTGAAATCAACTGACACAGGTCCAACCTCGACAAATGCTCATGTGATAGTGATTGCAGTTGACCGGCGCAGTGAAATATATGGTACTTTTATTTAATTAATTAAAAAATAATAGTAACGGTTTAAAAAGTATAAATAATAGTATAGCTTAAGCAAATGTTGATGATTATTTTGGTATAAATTTTTCGTCAAAATGATGTAGAACTTTGGAAATATTAAGGCATGTATCTAAGCTTTTTCAGTTGTTAATTGAAATATGTCCATTTTTTTTCTTAGCGTGAAAGGCATATAATGAAAATGTATGTTATTATTATTAAAGTGATTTTTTTTTATGGTCGATATTTAATATAATCTACAAATTAGAGCTCCCAAATCATGTCTTCGAGAGTTTTTGCCGAAACATGCATCGGGAGAATGATTATTACTAAATCTAGAATTCGCTTTGAGATTATTGTAGTAGAGAAAACAAACTATTTTCATCAATTAATTGTTATTTCAAGCAATGAACAATAAACTTAAAATTTCAACAAGGAAACCTTGTAATTTCGCGTTTTTTTTGGAATACTCCTCTTAAAGCAGAGCGAAGGGGAGTGAGGAGCATATATAGTGCAGTGATAGCAAGTATATACTGTGTTAGCAGACGAAACAGCCGATATTTCTGGCACTGAACAATTATTGATTGGGCTGTGACATTTTGATGAGGAAATTAAAGAAGTCCAAGAAATGTTTGTCGGATATGTTGAGCTGAAAGGTCGGAATGTGAAATCTCTTGCATATCGCATTGATGAGTTTCTGACAACTGAAGACATTAATCCAGAATAATGCATTGGTTTAGAATTTGACGGCTCTTCGACGATGTCCGGAAAACACAGTGGTGTAAGAGCAATTCTACACAAAAAATACACCAAAGCCTTGTTTTTTCTTTGCTTGTCCCACAAACTGAATCTGGTAATCAATTATCTCAACACTCTTTCTGAAATTCGAAACGTCATGGGAACTATCAAAGATATAATTACATTTGACTTATAGAAACTTGTGAAACTGGCACAATCTTATGATTTACCGAACGTAAAAAATGAAAGTGAACTTTGGCAGCAATTGTGATATTTTAAATCCAATTCAACAAATATAACCATTGTAGATGTCCTAAAAGAGGCAAAAACCTGCTTACCCAAAACTGTAAAAGTTTTTGATGTTTGATTTGATTACTCGACTGTGCACAATGTGTATGGTTGATAGATTGATCAAAATTCAGTAGCCGCAGGAGACTAAAAATCTGGTTAAGAAGCACTATGGGGCAAAACCATCTCAATGGTCTGACCATGATGTGTTCAGAAAAGCTACAAGATTTTCATAATAAAGTGTTTGAAAAGTATACAAAATACCCCCAAAGATTATGTTTTAATTAATTTAATAAAAAAAGGCTCTCGTTCGACCACTTTATTAAAATATTGTAATTTTCAAAACTTATTCTGTAAGTAGACTCGTCCATCACTGCCAGACCATTTTAGGCAATTTTGTCGCAAATTATTTTTATTCTATTTTGTTCATAAATGTAATAACTTTGTTTAAAAGTTTTATTTATTGTACTGTCTAGTGCTCGTGGAGCTTTACACATTGAAATTTGTATCGGTTTTAATTCAATCGACTTAATGCTCATACACTACGTCGATAATTCCAATGCAGCTAGCCGTGCGGCTGACCGTAGGATGCGGTTGCTAATACAGCCAACTGGATTGCTAGTAGCACCGTTACAATTTGCGGTCCTATTGATTCATTTCAAAGATGGACGTGGAAGAAGTTGCAGCTATTTACTACATTGACACATGTTAAGTAAAGAAGAAAAATCAAAGAAAGAAGATTTCGATGATAAATTTTTCGGTATCCGTCATAAACGTACCACGTCATAAACGGGCCACAGCCCTCCGAGTGACCGGAGTGGTTTGCGGGTAGCCACATTGCAGTGCGCATAGAATTAGATGTTATGTATATATTTTGAGTAGTGGTCAACTTCCCCCCCCCCCCCCCCCCTCAGGCAATTGGCTGGCGACGTCCTTGCTTAAAGCTATTACAATGTACCAAAGAAGATACCATTTTTTACGTGGTAGAGCCATGCTGCAGCTGTCTTATGGGCTATCTCATGCTACATGAATGAATGAAAAATATGGCTCGGCTCGACCGGGGTGGGCCCACAATCTCACAGAATACCAGCGTAAAATAGCAGCTTAATGCTGCTATGTTTCGTATTGTGAGTATAGAGAATTGGAGATCCTTTTTACTGGAAACAAGGCACTCCATCTTAGTCCTCAGGGGTGACAATGTGTCTTCATTTTGATTCTTAATTGAGGATATATGTAGATGTCTATGGACAGCATCCACTTACCATCAGATGGACTGTGTGCTCGTTTGTCACCCTAATTTTATAAAAAAAATCACCTCCAAATAATTATTGAAAATATTCACTATCATTCCTATTTTTTTTTTTCCACAAAATTTACCTATCAAAACTGAGAAATGACAAGATATTCTTTATCAATATGCGCCATCTGTTTGACTCGTACATTCATGTGGCACTCGTCGGCGTGCGCATCCACATAGCAATATAAGCAATACAGACAAGCACTTCTGACAGAATAGAAGAAGACATAGAATATGCACATATTATTTAGTTGGTCCAACATTGAATTACCTTATAATGTTTTTGATTTGAATATTTTTGGATAATGGATGTCAGGACTGACTCAGGGTAGTACTAAAAACTGCCTATACAATTTTTTTGTATTTAAAAATTTAGACCTCCCTTCAATATTATACTAGGCTGTTCATCATCCTTATCATTATTATACCCCTTCACATGTCCACTGCTGAACAGAGGCCTCCCCCAAGGAATGCCACAAAGCACGGTCCTGAGCCACCTTCATCCATCGACTTCCTACATGTCTTACCAGGTCGTCACTCCTTCTAGTGGGAGGTCGCCTCATACTTCACCTACTGGTACGAGGCCGCCACCTCAGAACCTTTCTTCCCCGTCGGTTGTCAGTTTTTCGAACTATATGGCGAGCCCATTGCCATTTCAGCTTACTAATCCATTGGGATATGTTGGTTACTCTGGTTTTACTGCGGATATCCTGTTTATCACGCAGAAAAACCCCTTTTTCCCCACGAGCTTGTCATTTTTATTGTACACTGCTTTGCAGTCTTCTAGGCACTGAAAAAGACAGACTGTTTTTGTAACTCAAACTGTATGTTTTCGGGATTTTGGAGCACAAGGGGAACAAAGTAGTCTTCATTAGATGGATCTCTCCAACTTAACATTAAGGTTCAGTGTGTCTCTCACCATTCGGTGATAGCTACCAGTTTTCACCCTCAAGATCACCGAGATATCACTGAACAGTTGCAATCTAGTTGTCATAATGAAGTTAATCTCATTTTTTCTCAAACCATCAGGGCTCAACCAGTTCCACTTTCTGTGGGACGGTTTCTGGCATGGTTGGCTGATTTAAGTCAGACCTATTTAAATCATGATTTAAATCACGATTTAAATAGCTTGATTTTGATTTAAAAAATCATTGATTTAAATCAACATGTATAAATTAACGTAATAGGCAGAAAATGAAATAAAACTGGCTTAAAATAAGTAATTTATTATTCTATTACAATAGTCACATAAACTTTGGAAAATCAACAAAGACTGTAGTGAAGAGGCCTGTCAGTCTCATAAACTTGTAAAATCAACCAGATTTTTTTAGAAATTCCCTCTTAAGGTATGAACTGTAATTAATACAGTATTAATTATTTTACTCTTAATCAGTCTCATACATATGTATTCATAAACTTTTAATCCTACTATGTCAAAAAGTGTTACCAACCAGTGAATTTTAAAATATACAAAATAATTTAAAAAAATCAGCATGATTTGATGAAAATTAAAAAAAAATCATGATTTTTTCCATCCCTGGTTTCTGGATGAAACATTTCATCATAAAGAGTCCATGATAAAGAATCCCCCTTTCTCCATGAAATGAGCCAGCTGCTGACCGCTTGGGTTCCATTGCCTTATCCCAAACTTCCCTACCTTCAGTTTACCATTCTCTCTTGTGCCTAGTATTTATGTTGGTTGAAGGCTCCCATTAAGACCTTATAGTGAGTTTTTGAGGAATGTATAGCTCTAAAGATATTCTCATACATTTCTTCCACCTTCTCATCGAAATGTGCCGAGGTTAGTGCGTAAACCTGTATGACCTTCAACTAATACCCTTTGGTGATTCTGAGTATAAGAGACCCTCGACCTGACTGTTATAACATAGGTACAATTAGAAATATTTTGGCAACAATAGATACTTGTCAATATGCATTTATTATGAAACACCTGTCAATGTTTGTAATTAAAAGTTAAGAATTGGTTTTTGATGATATTTTTGTTCTTTTATAATATACTAACAAGTTGTTTGTAGATTTATTAGAACCTGTTATTGATATCATAAATCTAAAAAAAATATTGGGTCCTAATTTTATTTCAAGATTCTATACTTATACAAATATTTATTTCCAAAAGTAGAAATAAGCAAATTGCAAAGTTGTCCATTATCAGTGTACGAGGGTGGATTGAAAAGTACTCGGCCTAACCAAGAAAATAAACACATACTAAATCAGTTATATTTTTATTTTTCTACATAATCATCATCAAGTTCAATACACTTTTGCCACCTCCCCTTCCAAGCATTTAGACCGTTGAAAAAAAATGATTCTTCCTTAGAGTCAAAATATGCGTCTACAGCTGCTTTGACCTCGTCGTTTGTCGAAAATCTTTGAACTCCCAAGTGCTTTTTTGGGTTAGGGAACAGAAAGAAGTCTGATGGAGCCAGATCAGGTGAATACGGCGGATGCGGTAACAGTTCAAAGCCACAGTTGTGAATTTCAGCCATTGACTGTACTGACGTGTGAACACGGGCGTTATCTTGATGAAACAGGACTTTTCTTCTGAGCATTCCTCGACGTTTTTCTTTTATTTCCTCTCGTAAACGACGTAGTAAGGTGCAGTAGTAATCAGAGTTTATATTCTGACCCCTTTCAAGATAATCAATCATAATCACACCTTTTGAGTCCCAGAATACTGAAGCCATCACCTTATTTGCCGACAAAATCGACTTAGCCTTTTTAGGGGGTGGTGAACCAGGTCTTCTCCACTGTTTTGATTGTTGTTTTGTTTCCGGTGTACAGTAATGAACCCATGTTTCGTCCATAGTAACAAAACGATTCAAAAAATCATCTGCATCGGCTTCAAATAAATCCAAACAGTCGCGTGAAATAGTCAATTGCGTCCTTTTTTGTTCAACTGAAAGCAGTCGCGGAACCCACCTCGCAGACACCTTGTGGAAACCCAACTCGTTGACAATGATGTTTTGAGTTCGTTCATAAGAGATGCCTATAATCTCGGCTATCTCTCTAATTTTTAATCTGCACTCTCCCATTATTAAATCAAGTACTTTTTTAATATTTTCGTCAGTAGTTGACGTCGAAGGCCTTCCAGAGCGGGGTTCATCTTTCACACTCTCTCTACCACGCTTAAATTCTGCTATCCATTTTTTGACGGATGAATATGACAGAGCACAATCGCCTAATGTACTGACCATGTCATCATGGATGACTTTTGATGATAGCCCCTTCTTATGGAGGTACTTAATGACGGCACGCTGCTCGATTTGCTCCATTCGCGGAAATTATGTCCGATTACTTTGTTAATAAATTTATAAAATCACAACTAATTATCGCACACGTTTCGAACTTCACACAATGAACTAGTCTGAACTGAACTAAATAATGTGGGTAGATTTGATTTTTAGAATTGAATGGATCTGTGTTAGGCCGAGTACTTTTCAATCCACCCTCGTATATGTTTTAGGTTTTATCTAATAAGTTTAATACATTATTCTGCAATCTGTTGAAAAATATGGTAGAGCCATGCTGCAGCTATATTAGTAGTATAGTTGTAGCACGAATGGGTCGGCTTGACCCGGGAAGGACCACGCTCTCACAGAATACCAGCGTAAAATAGCAACTTAACGCTGCAGTGTTTCGTATGGTGAGTGTAGAGAACCAGAGACCATTTTTACTGGAAACGAGGCATTCCATCTTAGTCCTCTCGGGTGACAACGCATCTGTATTTTGATTTGTAATAGAGGATAGATGTAGATGTCTATGGGCCGCAGCCATCACTTACCATCAGGTGGACGGTGCACTCGTTTGTCACCCTTATCCTAAAAAAAAACCAACAAACCTTCCATACTAGATATAAAGATTTTTTTCAAAGATTATATTTTCAATAATATCATCATACAAATCTGCAATATTTCAGCCAAGAAGGTCGACAAAGAGTGGCCCAACTTTTAGAAGCAGTAGAGGCTCTGAGTGGCGCTGAGAGACTTTTACTGTATCTTCGTTTGCCTACGGGTGTGCCTCCTCATGACCCTTTGAAGCAACCAATAAATCCATTGGGATCTAGGTATGCTTTTTTAAAATGCATAATTACATGCATATGCAACTATTTAAAGAGATGTAATTCTTAAATATGATTTCAGAGCTGAACTTCAGCAAACAGTAACATGGATACAAACACATTTGGAGGTTGATCCTGACGTTTCTCTACCAAAGCAAGATGTTTATGATGAGTATATGTAAGTATTTTACAAGTATTCCAACATTATTCTTATTTTAATGAGACAATCATCATATAATACATTCTGCCAATATCAAGTCAGTTTTGCAATTAGCACTGAGGTTTATATGTTTGTGGCAGTTAGTGATTACTATTATTTAAGTGCCATCCTAACTTAAACGTTTGAGTTTTGGCGGGTACCTAACCGCCGGCGGATAGCTGCTCCTGTATTATTGTGTAAAAAAATAAATATTAAAAAAATTGTACAGCCGACTTCAATATAAGTTATTAAGAATAACTCAAAAACTATTGGTCTGACCTCGATCAAATTCATATGGGACCACACGAGAAGTACCAGCTTTCAAATAAAAAAAGAATCATCGAAATCGGTTCACCCTGTAAAAAGTTATGAGGTAACACACATAAAAAAAACATACAGTCGAATTGAGTACCGTTTCCTTTTTGGAAGTCGGCAGATAATGCTTAAAGATGGATTTTGATACGTAAATGGGGTGCGATTTTGTGTATTAAATGTCTGCACATGTTAGCTATTAATGGAAATGATGAAGCATGTGCTCCGATCGTTTTTTTATTATAGGATAGGGTGACAAACGAACACACAGTCCACCTGATGGTAAGTGGTTGCTGTGGCCCATAGACATCTACATTTTTCCTCAATAAAGAATCAAATGCAGATGCGTCGTCACCCGTGAGGACTAAGATGGAATGCCTCTTTTCCAGTAAAATGGGTCGCCGGTTCTCTACACTCACCATACGAACACAGCAGTGTCGAGCTGCCATTTTACGCTGGTATTTTGTGAGAGCGTGGTCCTTCCCCGCTCGAGCCGACCCATTCGTGCTTCAACTATACTACTAATATAGCTGCAGCATAGCTCAACTACTGGTGATGTAAACCTCAAGTTATTTCGTCTGCTTAGGCACCTTTTAGATACTATCGCCATTAAATGTCTGCTGGCACAGCTGGCATCGAAAATCTATGCAACAACTGTGAAGAATTTTTTAAACAAATTAGTAATAACAAACAGTGACATAATAGTTACATTTCTGTCTTTGCAAACAATTAATAAATAATTCTAAACGCAACCTAAATACGAGGACGGCACTGAAAATTTCGGGAATCAAGGAAGTGACACAACATTACTATTTAAAAATTGTATTTATTGCTTTTCGAAGTATTCTCCGCGAAATTTGACACATTTTTCCATACGATGGAACCAATCATTGAAGCAACCATTCCATTCGGATGTTGGGGTCTCCAAAATGGCCGTTTTGAAGGCGTACACAGCTTCTTCAGGTGATGAAAATCTCTGTCCACGCAATTTATTCTTTATTTTAGGGAAAGTATAGAAATCATTAGGGCTTAGGTCGGGGCTGTACGGCGGATGGTCTAATAATTCTATGTTTTGTTGCTCTAAAAACTCTTTTGTTCTGTGTGCCGTTGTGAGAACTCGCATTGTCGTGATGGAGGATGATGCGGCGGTTGCAGTTCTCTTTACGGAGTTCAGAACCGACCTGTGGCAAACAAATGCTAGCATACCATTCTGCATTAACCGTTCTTTGTCCCTCAAGAGGAATAGTCGTAACATGTCCGGTTTTGGAGACAAACGTGGCCACCATTTTTTTGCAACACTCCGTGAACGATTAATTTTTGTTGGCTTTTAACTCATTTTCGAACACCCAAACTCGTTTTTTGTTTCGGGTTCGTACGCTTATATCCTGGATTCGTCATCTGATACGATGTTGTATACAGCATTTGAGGATCCTGCGTGGAATCTTTCGAGAGTTCTGACGCACCAAGTAACGCGAGCCGCTTTTTGCTCTTCACAGAGCGAATGCGGTATCCATCGGGAAAACAACTTTTTTACACCTAATTGTTCATGCAAGATTATTTGTATTTGACTCATGTCAATGTCTAAAGTTGCCTGAATTTCGCGGTATATCACATGTCGATCTTCCTCAATCAGCTTACGCACAGCATCAACGTTTTCTTGGGTGACTGCAGTTTTTGGACGACCTTGACGGGGATCATCACTGAGCTTGACACGTCCACTTTAAAATTCAGCAAACCAGCGATAAATTGTGGTTTTGGATGGGGCTTCATCACCAAATGCAGAAATCATCCGGTCAACACACTGTTTTTGTGTTAAACCACTTCGAAAGTCATAATAAATCATCGCTCTTGAATTTTCTCGAGTCAATTCCATTTTCTCAACGACTAAACTAGTTTGATAAAACCTTGTGGCAAGACCGAGAATATTTTTATTAAATAAATAAATGGTATTCGATTTTTAAAACCAAGGAGTTTTCAATTAAAGATTTTAATATGACAGGAACAGTGGAAATATTCTATTCCCGATACTTTTAGTGCAGACCTCGTATTAATTCTATAACTATGTCGACTATTACACTTTCCCCACTTTTGGGGAAAATGTCATTTACTTTTAAACATTACTCATTTGCTTCTGTGTGTGTGTGTGTGTGTGTGTGTGTGGGGGGGGGGGCAAACGTAATCACAGGCCGCTTATGCACACATTCATTGTGTTGTTGGTGAATGGAACTTTGAATGACACTATCATTCTTAAGTCTAATTACTCTATGCTTATCGTATGCAACGCAATAACACGCTTCCGAGCTTCCGACCTGCGTACGACTAGTGTGTTCCTAGAACTTACGCGTAGCACGTCATAAACAAATTGACCGTGCACGGTGCGTTTTATCATTTAATAAGGCGATACAAATATTTTTTATAGTATTAAGATCATTTTAATTACAATTCTATGGATGTAACTATATACATTTTAATTATTAATACATACAATATATAAAAAAGTAATAACTTAATTATCATACAGCCCTAAACCCCGTGCTATCATGTTAAGAACGCTGGCTGCGTTAAAATAAAATATGTTGAATATCATTGAAAGTATAAAGTATTTATTTGAATGTTTATCTCAGTTACGATTAGAAATAACACATTGTATTCTACATATTCATGTATTCGTATTCGTTCGCATTATAAATCATACATGGCAGAATTAATACCTAAAGGTCCAAAACTCCTACTTTAGAAACTTTGGTAGTAATACTATTAAACGTTATTATATAAAAGGAAAGCGAATCCATGAATATGTAAAATATAAGGTGTTATACCCGCAAAACATCGAAAGTGAAATTTACCATACTAGAAGAAAAACATCAAACATTGAAAAAAAATGTTGAACAACAAGAAAAAAGAATGCAATTCATGGATAAACAAGCAACACAAAGAAACATAATTTTCTTCGGCATTGAAGAGAGTGAGACATCCTATCATAACTTAGAGAACAATATATTGCAGTTTATATTATTTATTTGATTATATATTGACATACGAACGTACAGAAAAAAATCGATCGTCATCATTGTTCAGTTCCAGTTAACTAGTGTAGGGTACGTGGGTGACATTGAAAGTTCTTAGAAAATCAAAAATTGAACAAACTAGCAAGGTATTAGTTTTATTATATCTTTTCAAAACAGTGTCCATTTACATCAATACATCGCTGCATCCGATGGAACCATTGAGAAAAGCACTTTGCCCACTCGTCCTTAGGGGTCTCTTCGACCACAGATTAGTTAATAGTTTACTAAACAGATACATCACTCCCATACAAAAGCGAAAATACCTACGCTATAATAGCCTACAAAATCTTAATAATAATATCTACTGTTCGCAGCGAGAGGAAAATGTACCATAAATCCGCGCTTAAAGAGTCGAGATTGTGTTGACTGCCGTGCGACTCACGTGCAAGCGCGTCATCGCACGAATGCTCTAGGGTTGTACCTATGATGATTATTGTAATAAAACAAATCTTGCGGAATTTCCATATTATTTATTTGTCAATAATATATGTTTGAGTTTTATAAAATGATTTATACATTTTTTTCCTTCAAATTGAATTCTCGGTTATTAAATTTTATCGTTGAAAATGGTTGTCACTCAATTTATAAATTACAGCACTGTTATGCTTTGTTTCGATGTACTCTTATAGTTAAGAAAAAAAGACAATTTTTTGTTTGTTTTTTGACTCTGACACCCATCCACTGCACAATAATTACGTGGTTTCGGCATTTCGACGAGTAAGCGCGGGAAACGTGTGCGGTGCAAGCGCTCAGGCGGGCGTGCGGCAGCCCAATGTCGGTTGTATCGTGGGCGATACGCAAAATGGTAGGCATATAATGGTACGCAGGGTCTTGAGCGAGTGACGGAGGCCTGCTTCGACTTCATTTTGAAACACAGCCACTGCTTCCTCGGCGTCCATAAAACATTTTTCTCGAAGTTTTTCTTTTATTTTCGAAAAAAAATAAAAATCGAAAGGTGCGAGGTCGGTGCTATAGGGCGGGTGACCCAGTAATTCCACGTCTGACGTCGCCAATCGCCAAGTAGTCGATTGTTTGTTTGGCGGTGTGCGACGAGGCGTTGTTGTGGTAAAGGAGGATCCTACTGCAAGGTCGTTTCTCCCGAACTTTTTCCAAGACAAGTGGCAAACAATTGATAGTGTACCACTCTGCAGTAACTGTTTTTCGATCCTCTAAAACAATTGTTGCGTAATGACCTGTCCTTCCGAAGAACGAGGCCACCAAAAATAATTGTAAGAAAATTTTCTCGCGTTAATCTGTCAAATTTAATTTTTATTTTTAATCTTTGAAGTACACATGGGGCAGTCAAATGTCACCTTCTTCTTCTTCTTAATAACTGGCTTTACGGCTCTGGGATATAGCCCTTCTGAGCCTGAAGTTACAATATATTATAATATCCTTCATAGTATACTGCTTCACAATATGTTGATGCGTCACATTGCGCAGCCCTTGGGAGATTTTGACTGCAACTTGAGCCAGCAGACAGCTGACGGTTGGCGATGGTATCTCAAGGCGCCTAAGCAGACAGACACCTTATTTTGAGAATCACATCACCATCAGAGCACTTGTTTCACAGTTTCCAGTAATAGTTCACATGCGCAGACACTTAATACACAAAATCGCACCACTTTTACATATCAAAGTCCACTTCAAACCATTATTTAAACAATAATACAGGAGCAGCAAACCGCCGCCGGTCAAGTTCCCGCCAAAACTCTCTCAAATGTCACCTTTGTAGAACGCTTCAAAGAGTATGGTAATATTTAGAAAGGACCCCTCAGAACCAAAGAGTATATATTTGATAACTACGTTTAGTCAGAACCATAGTTAAGAGTGCTCAGAACAATTATCTTTTAAATGTTATTTATATGAATTATAAAACTAATATTTTATTAGAATTAGTTTCGTTACTAAATTACGCTTCTCTAAATTAACAGAATTTACTTCAAATGACGAGTTTCCGTCGTTACCTACGCGTCGCGTTTACGTCACATACTTTATAGTCCGTTCGATTTAAGAAAATAGTGAGTCATCAGTGCAATTACAGGGTAAAGGTGTATTCACAGTGGAATAAAAAATTTTTTTTTCCAACATTTAATTAAGTTTAATGGAAACAAATTTTCTTAAAATTACTTAAATCACTAATCAGTATCGCTAGATTCTCCAGTTACATTAATTATGAAAGAATTTTGTTCTGCAAGTTCGATGATGTCATCCAAATTCCACATGGTATTTTCTTCGCGTATCACGTGAACGCAGCACTTCTTTCAACTATTAGCGTCTATTAATGCTATTGTGTCATCTAATAATTTTTTTATGTCACTCATTTTGAACGTGGAGTTATTGGCACCAACATAATTTATTATTTGGGCCCAAACCAATTCAATTAGATTAAGTTTGCAATGGTAAGGCGGTAGGCGAAGAATTGTAATGCCATTACTTTTGGTAGTCTCATCTATTAAATATTTATTATATTGTGGGGCGATTTCGGCAATTTTCATTAATAATTATTTTTTTGACATTGTAAATTACGCGTCTCTCTGCGCTATGGATTATTCATCCACTTTTATTCTTTCGAATAGGTAAGGTATTCATTTTCAAAATTTAATGTTGAACGAGTAACACGCAAATTTCTTGCATTTTAATTGGCTGTGGGGCGTGGCCAGGCCTATTTTCTTAACGTGAACGGACTATAGTGTTATTTCCTTCGCCGCGTGAGTGTAAGAGGCAAGTACAAATTTAAAAAAAATTAAGTGGGTACAATAGAAATTTTTTGTTAGTTTTTTAAATAATAGGTAAGTAATTACACTGTCTTTAAAAGTTAATTCCTTATATTTTGCTCCGTAACAATTTTATATACTTTATAAAATTTCCATTTCAAATACTGTGTCGTTCACGTGTCACTATATTTAATAGCCAGAATGAACTGAAAATTAAAGATAAGGTGTGAATTATCACTATAAATCATGTGTAATTAACACAAATTTTCATATTCCACAAAGTTTAAAAATTACGTTTAATGTTATAATTTCGATATATATTTCGATATATATAGTGAACATTATGGCGAAGTTGTTTTCAACAATAATTAAAAATTAAAAAATTTGTTGAACCGACTTTAATATAAATTATTAAGAATAACATTATTAGTCAGACCTTGATCAAATTTATATGGGACCACATGTGAAGCACCAGATTTCAAATAAAGAAGGCATCATCAAAATCAGTTCACCCAGAAGGAAGTTATGAGGTAACACACATAAAAAAAACATAGAGTCGACTTGAGTACCTCCTCCTGCTTGAAGTCAGTAGAAAAATGGCGTTGGTCAAAGATAGCATAATAAAGTATATACCTATGATTAAATTTTTTTTGAGGTTTCTTCTGAGTATATCAATATAATCTTTATATATAAAAATTACGTGTCACATTGTTTGTCCGCGATAAACTCCTAAACTACTGAACTGATTTCAATGAAATTTTGCACACTGTGCAGTTTGGTCCTACTTGAGAGATATGATAGTTTTTATCCCGATAAGTGACCCTCAATATTTTTTATTACGAATTTAATAATTTTTATAGGACACAGGGTCGTCGGAGAGGGTCGAACAACGTCTGCCTGGCCAGCTAGTTATATTATATATTTCTTTTCTTTATGAGAATCGAGTGTTTCTATATCCTTGTTTCTTTCTTCATAGTATTTATTTGATTTTAACATATGGCGATTCGTTAGATTTGCCTTAGTTGTAGAAGTGACAATATTTTTTTTTCTTTTCTGTAAAATTTGTAGAATTGTTTGGTTTTGTTATTTATTACTGTTCTAACCATACAACTTGTTTACGCAACTTATGTTTAATAAATTGTTTGATGATGTTTGATGACTTTTTTTACACACAAAAATATTGTTTCAAATAATAAAATTAATCCCTCCCTCTCCTTACAGTTTCCTTCCACTACTGGTCATGGGCCATGGAAATAAAGGGGAGCACAGAATTTTACTGCCACAAATATCACCCATCTTTGCAACGCTGCTCTAAGCATCGCACGGAGCATCCCAATTTCACCGAGATTAAATTTAGAAAAAATGTTCGCCTTTTTTCCTCCCACATTTTTTTCTTATCACTATTACAACAAACACCGTTACATCCTAAAAAAAGAACGCCACTGAACATAGGCTTCCACTATATTCCTCATAGAGGGTATACTTGTCATAGTTACCACGTTCTGTTCTTTTTTGTTGACAAATCGTCTTGCAGTCGTCATTACTCTAGCGCTCACTTGACCTTCATACAAATAATTCGATATTTTAATTGTTGATATTTTTTTTATTTTTGGATAAGAACATAGTAATGACTCTAAGTTATATTTACCATCTTTAAAAAAATTCTATTTGGCCTGATCTACTATATTCTTTGGCTTGACCGTAGTTCTAACTAAGTATATCCAAAAAAATGTCAAGGTTTGAGAGGTTAAATTAATGCTGAAGTGACACAGACAATTTTCAATTTGCCGCCAAATCGTAAAAAAAAGACAAATTAATAAAATACATACACAATAATATTGGCAAAGAGTTCCATTTTAAAAATTTGAACTTATTTTTTTATTATATCATTTACAAGTGACCAGTTCTAAAAACTTTCAGTGTCGCCCTCGTATTCTCCAAACACCTCCTTGGTTATTTATTTAATGAACCTAATATCTTCGTTTCTTAACTAAAATGTTAGGATGCGAAGATATTGGGTTCGTAAAAGAAAAATCTTTTTCTCTGTGGCGTGAATATATTCGTTAATGAACATCAGACTAAGTTAATCATTCTCAAACTCACTCTCAGAATGGGAAAACATGGTATGTACTCGTGCGTGCGTTAACAAATGTTAAGTATACGTTGCATACGTGGGTCAAGTGTGTACACAAACGTAGGAGCATTGCATTGCATACGTTGCGTACGTAGGACCTGTCTGTCGCTATCCTAACACTATTTTAAGCTGTCACACGTGCTGCTATCAAATTATGGAAGAAAACAAATGTTTATTATGTATACTCGTAACACAATGGTAGTCGATATTGTAATACTGTACGGGTGATACAACATTAGCGACCATTTTTTCTGACTATATTTTTTTTTTTACCAGAGCTCACTGTATGAGCAGCAACGTGAAGCCTTTGTCAACTGCAGATTTCGGCAAAGTAATGAAGCAGGTGTACCCCAGTGTACGCCCGCGCCGGCTTGGCACTCGCGGAAACTCTAGGTATGTGATTGTTTGTAGATTAATTTATGCAGTCATCATGTGAAAGTGTGGAGTACAGGGGGTGGATCAGATTACTTTCTTCAAATGTCAAGCTTACCTGCTCTCGATACACCTTCTGACACTTCGTCTCACTGACGACCTTCTAATTACTAAATTATCCTATAAATGAACTGAACCTGAACCCTAATCTCAAAGAACGGTGAAAGAGATGGTTCGGCCATCATCAACCCACCTGCCCAGCATGGTAAGTATGGGCAACACTTAAGTAATACATGCTTGTTGCCACATTTTTGGAAGAGACCGAAGAAAAAGAAAAAAATCATCTTGTATATTCTTGATTAGTATAAAGTGTGGCGCGTTAAGAAGGGATGGGAGCCAAAATGAAGAAAATCTAAACTAAGAGTAAAAAACCCACTCAACCACTCTTGTCGTCAAATTTGGTAAAAACATAGACTAATTCAAATTATTTCAGAAAAACATTACTTTTGCTTTTGCTTTTAGCAAAATAAAAGTAATGTTATTTTTGGCTGTTATTTTTAAACAAGTGGCAAAATTAACAATTTTATATAACCGACTTCAATATACATAACTAAAATGAGAACTCAAAAACTACTTTACTTTAGTCGACTGAGGGCGGACGATAAGACTATATAGTTTTTTTTATAGTTCTTTCTTTTGTAAACCGCGAACATTCTTTTCGTCAGTCTAGTAGAATACATAAAAGTCTCTTCCAATTCCAAGAGCTTCAGCAACTCCGTTACATACTTGTGACACAGGCGACAGCGGTCCGCCATTTTGGTATTCACGTTCAAAATAGTCACGCAAACGAATTACCAACAGTTTTTTTGGTTCTTTCTGGCATTGTAACAACAAAAAGGCATTAACAAAGCAAAAAAACAAATACTCAAAACAACGAAATAAACGAAAACTGGGTCACCGGGTGAGAAAACAAGGCGTCATGCGTCCGCACTCGTACTAACTAACGCTCAAAGAAACAAAATGGTGGCTCAGTGTGGTTAGTGTTACCAATATTAAAAAAACGGACGCATGATCTTTTTTGTAGGAAATATTTTTTCTGAAACAACAATTAAAATAAACTTATTTAAATTTAATAAATTCACATTTGTCGGTTTATCCCATCTCGTAACATTTTTACAACTTGGGGTAACCTTGTAAGGTGGTTGTAAATTATTAGGCTTTTTTGTGATAATTAATTAATACTAACTGGTTTAATTTTGAAACCGAATTTACGTGTTAAGCACGTATTTAAGTGAAGAACTGTCATCAAAAATATTGTTCACTCGCCAGAAATTAATGATTTTTCGCTTTCCAATATTAATGAAATCACTCGTTACGTTGGACGCTACTAAAAGTTATGCCGTCACTTGTGATGACAGCTGGCATTCTAATCATGCTATATTTAAAGAACTATAAAGCACAGGTCACTTCTCATTTTATGTCATTAATAAATTTGAATGAAATTAGTTTTGACTACAATCTTATATCTGTTTTAGGTACTGTTATGCCGGTCTTCGTAAAAAGATCAAGCTGGAAGTACCTCAGTTACCAGATTTGGGAGAGTCGTCAAAGGTATTAACTCCATCTTTTATTTTTATACTTTAATTATTGTCTCATTATACTATTATATAATAGAAATAATGTATTGTATTGGTATTTTACAGGAACAAACTGTAACTTCTAGAGAAACTGAAAGAATTGTTTGTGATTGGGCTGAAAGCAAACTTGGTATGTATTTATTTATAACTAAAAAAAATTTTTTTATTGATAATTTATTATTGTAATTAAGGTTTTTGATATTGTTACTTGCAAGAGAAGAAAGTAAAACGATATGTCAACTAAGAATAGAAATTGATTTGGTTGAGCAAGTCAAGGATATAGAACGAAGAGTGAATGTAGGACAGAGTGAACGAAGCGCTTTACTCTATTGTGCAGCCTATGCCTAAAAAGATAGACGTGCTGACCCTGCCATCTATCGACCAATTTCAGTTATCTCCATACTCTGCAAAATGATGGAACATATATTGATCGTCCACCTCGTTGCATATCTAGAGCAGAATGACCTCAGTAACCGACAGTACAGGTTTTGACATAATCGACCAACTGGGAACCTCCGTAGCGTATGCCACTAACATATGGGGCCCTTTGACAAGATTTGCCACGCTAGCTTTTACGTACTTTTGCGTTTCTAACATACGGCTTATGTATATAAATCCAGTACTTGTAAAAATAAATATATAATAAAGCTAGAAACATCTTATGACAAAAACGTTATCGAATAATGTGGAATTTCGCACTATCGTGGTAAGTTAAAATATACGGTATAAAGATGACTAAAAATTTACTTGAATTCTGCAAAAACCGATATATTTCTGCCAGATTAACCTTTGCTTTATTATGGGTTTCACAGCAAAAGTAAATTTTAAATTCTAAACGCAAATCACATATTCCGTTCTGTCTTTGCAATTATTTTCGCCGTTCAACGAATGAGGGGCCTTCAATGAACCTCCAGATAGTATTTCCAAAAATAAGTACTGCTAGCATAATAATATTATTTTTTATTTATAACTACACAAATAAACTTCAACTTAGTATATGAAAAGGCATATTGTACTAATATTAAACACTCGCTGCCTGCGGTGCAATAAAATGGGTAAACAAGACGCCGCCTGTTGCGCTCTCTGTCGCAGTTATGGCAGGCATAGTGACGCACCACTGTCATGTCGATGTGTATAATTATGAAAAATAAAAGGAAAAAGAAAACTATTCAATAATTACATTTATTATTCGTCAAAAGTACATACTTAGATTAAATAAAATGAATAAAAATTTTAGATATTTCGTCATCCTTGTAGGAATCAATAAGCGATTATCGATAAGTGATGCACCGCACCGTCCCTAACGCTCCGATGATTTATAGCACCGCGGGTAACGAGTGTTTAAGATTAGTATAATAATGCCGATTTCACTTAGTTGAGCTACGATTAGTTGTGGCGGTTTTTTTTTTCGTACTTATTCATTTGTGTTACAAATTTTATGCCACACCATCTTTTTTGTATATAATATGTATATTTTGTATTATATGTATACTAGTAAACTCAAAAATAGTAAAAAAATCACTTTTTAATGTTTCCTTTGGGTAAGCGTTCGAGAGATTACGACACAATCGATAACGATGGGGAAGAAAGATTCTCGAGTGGTAGTCTCGTACTGGTAAGCGAAGTGTAGGGCGGCTCCCCACTAGATGTAGACTTGGAAAGAAACTCATGATCTGAGGAACAGGAAACTCACGATGAATGCAAGTGGCTCAGGACCATGCTTTGGTGCATATTTTTGGAGAGGACTATGTACAGTAGTGGACTTGTGATTGTCTGTAATGATGGTGAATGATTTCTTTATTTAGTGTGTACATGCCTAATAAATATTTATTCATTATTATTTAGGTGTAAAATTCGGGAGTATTGCAGAGCTATCACGGCATTTAATGTCTGTTTGTGTGAGTCAACGCGCGCCACTCGGTCCGGCGAGTGGATCTCCTCCACCACTAACGCACGGTAATAATTCATTCTAGTATTTACTTATCTTTTAACACGTGATATATGTATTTTTTTTATAATAAAATCGACGTACGATTTTGCTTTTCAAAAATATTTTTACAAATAATAATAAATGTACTTACTGTTTAAAAACAGACATGTTTAATTTTTGCGGAACTTCAGCTATCATCTGTACATTTTAGATAACTGTAGAAAGTGTTAAGAGCCCAGTCTTTCAGAGCAAAACAGAAAAATCGCGTTCAGGTGACACATCTACACTCCCCCTGCCCCGCCACTTCATGTGCCGCCACCGCAGTCATCTTTCTGACCGTAGCTTGGAAAGTTGCTCTACTAAGATTTTCCAGTATCAATTTATCTAATATACAGGATTATTGATAATTAGCTAACAAATTTCCACATACAGATTTTCTACCTCATATCTAACTATTTTTGTTCCATGCCTTTTTACAAAATTTATTACACAAAAAAAAGTAAGTTATATAATTTTTGTTGTTTTGTTGAAAAGGTTTTTAAAAGATAACCCTGAACTTGGAAATAATAATCATCAAGAACCTGTATAACATGTACTCGTATTATTGATTATTCAAATGAATCTGGCAAGTGCGATGATGAATCGTGCACTGAGGGTTTCGTAATAAGTCGATTACACTATCAAAAATTCGTCAAATACATCGAGTAGTTTTAAATACGAAAATATTTTAAAAGAAAACTCCAAATAATTTCTATATAAGTACAAACAGTCCACTATCACACATATTTATAGTCTTTCGACGACTTAGACACGAGATTTATTTAGATTTTTTTTTATTTTATTCTCAATGGCTTGAATGATGTATGGAGGGTCTTTGATTGGCATCGAGCGTTCATGGCGAGAATCAATTAGCTCAGGAAGCAGACAATTCAAATAAAATTTAGACAATGGGCCTACCATTTTGTCCTGCCAGAACGCAGGGTCTCTCTTAAAATATTTTTCATTGAATGCTCCTCTCCAGTCCATATGGCAAATAACCATATATCCATCTCCGTAATGTTTAACTGACCCTGAACTTGGAAATAATAATCGTGGTTTTTGTCAACAGATAAAGTGTTATTTTTTGCATTGTACTTCCAAAATTTTATTTTCTTCGCTTTAACAGCTTCTTCAGAATGCATTTTTTTTTTTGCGGCAAATGAACATTTTATTTCTATTAGTCCCGTTTGTCTCTCTTTATTTTTATAAATAAAATCGGGACTCGCTCCTAAAAATTGTAGTGTTTTATGTATATATATATATATATATATATATATATATATATATATATATATATATATATATATATACCGAAGTGAGTAATTGTAAACTTTCCTGCCGAGATAACTGGGCCAATGCTGTTTGTTCATTAGCTTTGTTGAAGTTTGATCATTTTCTGATTGTCAGACATTTCTTCGCGTTTCCGTAGCTTAATAGCCCACACCGTATATCTGCGTAATTTCATAATTTTGAAGTCCGTTAAGTTTCCTTGATTGAATAGGTATCTGTGTATCCTTAGTAAGTGCTCTCAACTTGCTACATAGATTTCTTAGAAGATGGTTTCTACACTCGATCTTCTGAACCTTGCAGTTATAGGGATTGCTATCTAATATTTTTTATAAGTGCTTGAATCGCCATCTGATATTAATCTAGCATAAATAAAATAAAATTTACCATACAAAAATTAGAAATCATTTGAAGAAGCAATGTCAGCATAATTCTCTATTTCACGTTTAGATACTGAGCGAGGTAAGAAGAAAATGATACTATGGCTCGACCGAGGGAGGACAACGTCCCCCAAACAGCTGTACCATTTTATTTTTTCTGTAGCCATATAACCTAGGAAATTTAAAAGATTTTGTCATTTATAACTATTATTTCCCGCATAATCAAAGCATGCATCAACACCGCGGGGAAAATATGTATGATGCTCAGCGGGGCAGAAAACTTAATTTACATAGTTTATCGCTTCATTCAAAGTCACTGGCAAGGGATTTAATTTTAGTAGCTTTGGTTTAACACTTGAATCCGTGAGTTTCAAGTGAGTATTTAAACTCTTCAACGAGTGATGTTGCCTCCATACTGGAAGAACTGCCAGAAAAGTTCTTATAGCATATGTGGTTTGCTGGTTCAGTTTCTTTGTTTTCACCTTTTACGCATACAATACAGTATTTATTCTTCACGCCCAGGTACAGTATTTTACCAGTATATGCACCGATTATTGCTGCTGCTCCCGATGATGCTGAATAATTATTACGGAATGATCTTTTTGACCAACATCCGTCAGCTATCACGTCAATCATTGGTGTGCCTTCACTGTCTACATTTCCAATTTCTTTTGCATGTTCAGCCTCCTCCACGCCAGCCTTATTTAGTGGTACAGTTTAATTTTAAAAAGTAGATATTTTATAGCAAAATTAAATTTTCGATAATTCATTTTTTTAAAAATTAATTATAAATGAACTAACAGCAATAGAGGTGGAACAATTTCGGATTCTACTGGAGCATTTAAGGAGCAATTAATTAGCATACAGTTTAATTTTAAAAGGTAGATATTTTCTGTTTTATAGCAAAATAAAATTTTCGATAGTGAATTTTTTTTAATTAATTATAAATTAACTAATAGCAATAGAGGTGGAGCAATTTCGGATTCTACTGGAACATTTAAGGAGCAATTAATTGGCATACAGTTTAATTTAAAAAAATAATGTTCTACGCTAACTTCCTTCTGGTCTATTTTTGTTATATTATATTGCATTGTTATTTACTATGGCATGCTCCAATATGACAGACTATCGAACTAAAATATAATCTTATTACATAAAATGTTTAATTTCGCGAAGATTGTGTCGCTGCGGCTAAGCGAGACTATTAAATATGTGTATTGTAATTTGACCGATTTTAACATAATCATTTTCACAAAAATTTGAAAAATAACTATGGATATATTCACATTTTACAAAATATTCTACATTTTTAAAAATGTTTATACAGTGATCTTGTATTTATGAATTTGTACAGATGATGGCTAAAATTTGCTAATGATTCGTACATTTCCGTTATGTTGTGTTTCTATTTATTATTTTAAAACAATGTATTTTTATCACAGGTCCTGCAGATGACGGCTGCGGTCGACAACTAATAAAACAATTGAAACGAAAATTACAGGCAAGTATTGTATTCATTACCTATTATTTAACTATTAATAAAAAGTCAAGCAGTATTAACGTAATATTCTGTGTAGACGCAGGGAACACCAGGGCGACCGAAAAAAAACAAAAGTCACGAGGTAACTGGGGAGTCCCCTCCATCAACTTCATACGTAAGTCAACATCCGTCTGTAAAGCATGAAAGCGAACTGATTCCAGAGGCAAGTTACGGATATCAACCGCCATATATTCCTGTATACGATGTGCGCCCATCTTTTCCTCCTTACGGCGCCCCACCTCGCGCCCACCCACCACACATGACGCCCACGTCGCATACTATGTCCGTTCATGAATACCGACCGGACCCATATGTTTTCGAGCCTCCATATGCTCCTCGTGACTTATCATTACCTACAGATACGGCTCATAATTTACCTATAAACCTCAGCAGCGATGCTTCCCTTGATTTATCCACCGAACGCACCGAACTTCAACGACGTAGACCTCCAGAACCTCCACCGGCCCGCCTGCCACTTCCTGGTAAAAAGCTTATACTTGAAACTTACCAAAGTGAAACACAGGCAAGTTCTCCTCGGTCAAGTCAAAGTGACACGCGTCCAACGTCTCACGTCACCGAAGAGTTTCCACGGACGGAATATTTACCAAAAAAAATGAGAGCTGCTGAAATTATGGGTGGTAAGTTAGCTGCCGCACGTCAATCCTTATCTACAGCCGAAACATCTTCACCATCGGTTACCACTGTTGCTGAAACATCCGCTCGTTCCGAGGGTGCTTTTTTAGAGGATCCAAAAAACTTAACGAGCCGGTCCAAAAGCACCGCCGCGGCGCTGGCTCGGGAAGAACAGGAGGCGGCGAGTCCGATACAGTCGATAAAAGCTCTGACGCCTAAGTGCGAACGCCCCAAACTTCGGAAGTTATATTGTCGAACGAAGGCACCGTCCCCTAATAAAACAAATTTGCCTGAACGATCAACCTCACCCGAGTCGTGTTGTGGTTTAGTCGAAATTAACATTAAAACTGGAATGATATGCGAAGAAAAACACTCAGAAATATTAAATAGAGAGCGTGTCATTAGCATATGTAATATAGATAAACATGATTTGGACGATTACCTGAATGAAGGCAATAGCCAAGAACACGAAGAAGAATTATTGCAGTATTTCAACCACCGCGATACGGACCAAGAAGCAACAGCGCAAGCAAATTCGACTAGTAATACAGTCCCTTTTTTAGGAACAGGACAAGACCCACAAGACGAACACAGCCAAGGAAAAAGTGAAAAAATATCACAATTGCGTGAACTATTAGCAAAGAATTTAAAAAATCAAAGTGGGTCTACACAAAATAGTACTATGGATCAAGATACGCACGTGCCAGTCGATAACTCTCAAGAAGAGATTAATAAGTCAAATGTGTCTGTCACTGAAGGAGCTTTTAAACCTATTCCTGGAACCAATGTCATAGATTTAATGAATGGTACAGATTTGTCTAATGCAAATGAAATAAATGATAATAATAAACAATGCAATTCTAATCCCAATGAAAACGGTGTATCCGTTCCGTTTGGTGCCAATACACCAAATCAATTAATGACAAATATTGGTGGAACGCACCTATTTAACGGCAACTGCCATGAACCACAAAGTCCTACTACTAGAACCCAGCAATACGAATTTGTACCAATATCAGATGCATGTCATTCTCCTGGCAATTTTCATTCGAAATCACCCCTTGGATTTGGAGAAAGGGGCCAAAGTCCTTCGAAGATAAATAAATCGATAATAATGGGTGGATCTCTTCAAACTTCACCGATTTCGCATAGCACTGCTGCTAGTCCATTTGTTAGCCCCAGAAATACTCCTGTACCTAGATCTCGTCTTTGCTCGCGACCTACACCAAAACTTAATGGTAGAAAAAGGCGCAACCCGTTATCTCTTGGTATGACTGATTCGTGTCCTAAGCAGTTTGCAGTACCAAATGATCAAAAATTTATGTCTAAAGCAGCTGTTTGCAGTTCTAATATCAAATACTGTCAACCGATGTCAGCTCCACCATCACCTAACCTTATCACTCAGTATAAAACTCAGATGCTGCAAAACCCCTCCTTTATCCCAAATGGTACGAGTAGTGTTTGCTTAAACTTTGCTCCAAATGCACTTTTTCGAGAAAACATAAACGGAGATCTAACTCAACCCCTATCTGCCGATCCGCTTTCACGAGAAGTAAGTCAATTTTTTCAAGAACCTGTTACGTATGGCTTAGGACTTGATACATCTTATAGATCTCAGTCTGTACCGCTTAAACCAGGCATAAATAATATTAGTCTCTTGAGCTATAACAACACCCCTGTAGGCTCAGTACCTCCTACACCAGTGCCGAATGAATTTAGTGACTTCGGATCACTAGCTGATACCTGTGACATATCGAAGGCTGGTCTTAACCCGGAGACATTAGATAAAATCTATGATGCGATAGATAGTAGCAATGATGTACTTAATGCAAGTGCTACACCAGGTCTTCTGAGTTCCAATGATAGTTTAACTAATGGTTGTGATACGATCCCAGAACAACAGATTCTAACCGATGAACAGTTAAATTCCTTTATTCCCACGGGTGGTGAGCTTCTCGATAGAAGTGGTCAGTTTAATCAATCTTTTACAAATAATAACACTGCTGCTACCAATGTAGAAGAATTTTTGAAAAGAACCAATAGTATTGAATTAGATTTAACTGATTTGGTGCCGGATAAAAGCAAATATTATACATCGCGTTCAGTACCAAGCACACCATTGCCGTATAAACGTACAGCGACGAATTTACAGATCGACTCGCGACGTTCTAGAGAATTATTTACCACAGAGAATTATTCCAATGTTTCTAATGGTATTTCCTCAAAATCAGTGCCATCGACACCGCAACTTGCTGAAGATAGAAGCGTGTTCAGTTACAGTAATAGAGATTTTCTTATAAATGGCAACTCTGTAGAAGTTTGTGCATCAACTCAGATTCAAAATATTGTAGACAACGATCAAGGACTCTCTTCGCCATTAGATATGTTACGTGAAGATATATTAGCACCATTAACCTCTTCAGACTTATTGGCTGATCTCGATAAAATGGATGGACCTCCGTACGTTGACCTCTAGTCAACCAGCAGTTTATGTCACGTATAATTTTAATTTGTACAGCCAGATACCAAACTGTTGGATATCTTTTCAGAGTACAATATTACTTTGTATGCCTTCAGTGAAGGTTAATGTTTATTATTTGTAAATGTGTTACTTATTTTAACTTAAAATATGGATTGCCCACTCCCTGATATCAGAGTCAATAATGCACCATATTATTGTGATAATTCTAAAATCAATTGAATTATTGATGTCTACATTTTACAACACATTAAGATAAAACTATTTACTAATGTATTTCCTTTATTTAACGAAATAATATTTTTACTGTCGTTTTCTTGATGATCATGTTTTTTTTATTCGAGTTGTCTGTGTATATCTATGAAATATATTGTTGACTTCAATCTGTACAATATAAAATTGTACTGTTTCCAAGTCGTAAAGAATTGGGCCAAGACAGTGTCAGTACCGTTAAGGTTTAAATTGGTATGTGCCTCATGACAATATGTAAGCTCATCGTAAATTTGAATGAAACATCGAAGTTTTGATATGTAATTTATATATAGAATGGTACAATCAATTTTAATGTGTCTATATTCAAATTCCATCAAATGATAAATATAGCCGATAGCTATCTAGTAATTAAACAGACCAATATAGCGTGCCAAGCGCGCTTAGTGAACTGTAATTGGGTTTCTTAATATATAGATAGTATATAGTTTATAATAAATGAATTTATTGTAAGTTAGCACAAAGATTTAATATATTTTATTATCGCATAGGAGTTTTACTCTTATATACTAAATTTACAAATACTGCATTTAATGTGGTATAAACTTTATAAAATGCCCTTGTAATGGTTGCAGTGAACTTATAATGTGGCGGAAGATTCTGTTTATTTTTTTAAAATTAGACCAATTACAACATTAGAACGAACCGAATGACATTTTTTTTAAATCTGAAGCCATATGATAGAAATTGAAATGCATTAATTGAATATTATATTTAATAACATTAATCTGTACTTGTTAATACATATTGGTGTAGCTAATTATAATTACTTTATTCAAGATTAAGAATAAATTTATAGCCATTACAACTTTGTTGTTAATTTATTTAAATGTTAATCAATGATGAACTGTTTAGAAATACGTGAAATTTGCTACATCACATGTTCCAACTCGACAAAAACAAAATCCGATAAAAATATTGTGTGATTTTTGTTTTATAAAAATTCAATGAAAATAGTAATCTAAACCTGTGTGTGAATTAGTTCTGTATACATATTACATTTATTCATTATCAAGAACAACCGCATTTTAAATTTACATTTTTCGCAATTGTCAGAAAAATTGGTGACGTTGTTCAGATGTTTTTAAAATTTAATTCGCCGTTGTATGACTGTTTAGTGACTGATATATTGTTATATCTGATCGGCCTATTCCTCTGGGTGCCTGATTATGGGCAATTTATGTACGTAAACCGCCTCCGATACACGAGAAATGCTTAAAGTGGATTAAGTTTTTTTTTTCAAAAGAGAAATTAAACCGAAAGTGGCACATCACAATATTTTACTCAACAGATGGCGTCACACTGTTGAGTGAAATATTGCGATCTATGATCTCATGTTACAATTAGCACAGTTCAATTAAATCTGTTTTAAAATCAAAAGTTATTTTGTGCCGGTTTTCCAAATTAACTTTTTACAATATAATGAAATAACACGTTTTATGGCCTGGTCGCAATTGCATCAGATCAAGTCGGAATGGATCTATCAAATTTCGTTACGTTAATGACAGTGTAATAATATTGTTACGTATATAAATATTTTGTTAGTGCTTCTTAGATTTATTATTATTAATGTTTATTTCGTTATTGATTGACAAAGTTGAACCAACAGTTCTTTTTTTCCTAAAATTGTGCCTATACACAATGGTTTATATCCGAAACATACCATCAAAAGCTTATAAAGATATTTAAGCAGTAGTACAAATGAGACACTGGTTTGACAGGGATATTACATACATTTATATAAGTGAAACCGAAGACTGTTATAAATTTCGTAGATATTTTCATCTTGAAGTTACTAATTTTGAAATGATATTGTCTCGAGGTATAGGTATACAATAATGAATCAATGAACAGTATGTTATTCCAATTTGGTGCAACTTACCAAAAATAATTTGTACCTAATTATTGTAAGTGTATATTGTTGTAATTATGTGTGTAAATATTTACTTTTGTATTCCACGTTATCTCGATGTAATTCATTATCACGATGTACACAATAGATATACATCATACGTCCAACATGAATTTCATGTATATAATATAATTTGGATTTGAAATCATCTGATAAATAAAAATTAACAAATAAACCGTTTCACTCAGAAACAGAAAATATCTTTTTCTATGGCCCTACATTCAAAAATAGTTTTCAAAAAATATCAAATACTTATATCAATTTTCTCATCACAAATAAAATAGATCGCTAGTGTTAATTTCACACTTCATTAATGGTTGTTTTGTACTATCATTCTTCCAACATCACAATTCATTATGGGTATCCAAGTTAACCTTTTAGAAATCATGATTATTGTAGCAACGTAATAATAAAAATTCACTTAGAACACGTAAATGTTAAATCACTAAAATATTATTAAATTATTTTTTGTATTGAAATGTTTTAAGTGTGAATGTTTTATAAATTTAAATGAATGGGACATAGCTTACATCATAGTTGTACTATTGTTTCGCTACTAATTTTACTAAGAAGATATCTGTGCCATGGACGTATTTATACGTCCATGATCTGTGCTTAGTCCATACAAACGTATTCTTCTGTTTTCTTCCTGGATATGACACCTAAGCAAATATTATTTTACGATACAATTCATATCAATCTTCTTTTGTTTCTTTTTCATTTATTATTTTTAACTACAGAAAATAAACTTTACCTAGCCTAAAATTACACAGACTGCCCCGTTATCCCGCCGCAATTAGACATTCAGCAAATAAATTTAACAATCATCCTTTTACATAATATTCTTGAATTGGTCCAGATTTAATTTGGGAATACGGCTGATGATTTTTTATAGGTATAATCAGTCTGATCTATAGCTGCTCTTGAGGTTGTCGTTTGGGGCACAGACCTAAGCCGGGCACAAGCATCGTAAGTTAGCTGATAAGTTGAGAATGTTTTATTTGACTAAAGATGTCATTTTTCATATGAATATCACTAATACTATAATCAACACTTAAATACTTTGTTAATTATCATGTTTTAATGAGTAAACTTTCATAATTTTGAGTGAATTTTATTGTTATGATGCGTGGTACCCTTACGTTAAGATTAACAATAAATTTCCAAAAGTCAATAAACTAGCGATTGAAAAATTTAATAGGTACGTTATTTTTGTTTTATAAACTAGAAATCAAATGTATGATTTAAATAAACAGTTTAACCAATTATGAGATTTTATAAACAGTTCTTAGTATTTCCAGACATGCTCATTATTATCTATTATCGATAAAGGTCAGATTAGATATGTTTTGATTTTATATCGAATAAAATTGATAGAGTCTGTCATAATATGTTATGGAGATTTTATTAGTAAAATTAATCGATTATTATGTAAATATTTCTTTTAATTTCGTAGATAGATATACAATACATGACACTGTACATTTTATTATAATTATGTTGTTCCGTTAATATTATTGTTTTTATTTTTTAATGTAACAAATAATATTAGATTTACTTAATTTTTAGGTAAAATATCCATGTTGTTGATTAGTCTTATGGATGTTGTTTTACACCATTTGCTATGCAGTGATAATAAATGGTACGATAGTATTTGCCTTATTATTTCAGCATACAATGATAATCTGTCATGGAAAAATGATTTACGTACTCACATCACGTGTCTCGTCCCAATACTTTTTTAAGTGGGTTATCTCTCTATCCGTCGGTGGATATTAATTAGGTTTTGCCTGTCTTAAGAATAAGATTATTTTACGACCTCCCTTAAAAATAATTGCGACTATTTCTATTATTGGTACGTTTCGTGTAGCCCTTTTTACTGCCGCGGTATAAAAGGTTTTAACAACGTTATTTACAGCTATAAAAGGAACGTCGGGACAGCTGCTATAAGTTCATACCGTGTAGCAGCGGTTTATGAATATCCACTACCTCATAATATCATCCCGTCGTAAGAGGCAACAAAGGGAAACAAACCAGATGGGCAACAGCGTCTTCTTAATAACAACTAAAATTAAAAACCTGCGGTTGCCAACCCGCTTGCCAAGATTGGCAACTATGAGACAATCTATGGGGGAGGCCTATCTTCAGCAGTGGGATAGGCTGTAACGGTAACAGTAAGACCATACTTTAGTTGACTTTTACAGTTTCCTCGGGACGGAATGAAGTAATGGACTTACCATTAATTAACGCAGTACTCCTATCACCTTGAGGTTGACAAACATGTCTCGACGGAGACTACAGTCGGAGACCTCATGATAAAACGAACCTCGACTACCCTAGTTTATCTGCACTGTCTCTGCTGCAGATGTCTCGGTCACCATGAAACTCCCACTTTCTACATATTGAGTGACCTCAAGTCACACAAAAGGTATTACGGAATGCCAGTTTCAGTCACTTTAAGCAATTTGCCAAATTGCCTCACTATCTTGCAGTCAAGTTTTTCGGTCTTAAGCCAAAGCTCTTAATTAAGTGAACAAGGCAGATGGTATACCAGTTCTCGGTTGTTTCGCCTTACATTTAGGAATAGTACTCAAATCCTGATGTTTAGTCTGACGCAAGAAATGAAGTCACGGTGACCTCTACTACATGAAATTATCGGGTAATTTCAATTACTGTAAGTTTATGGAGCGTAAGAATATTGAAATCTCACCTTATGGTAGGTATACCTTGAACAAAGTGATCTCAGCAATCGACAGTACGATTTCTGTCAATGTCTTTGCCAGAAGCTTCTAATGTAAGTGAGGCGACATTATAC